GAAGCACTGGGGGAGAAGGATAATTCCATAGCGTTCATGCAGTTGGCTTCAGGGGACCTCAGCCATTTCTCTCCTGTTTGTGGTCTGTGTGGCTCCTTTCAGAGCCCTGTCACCCATCTGTATGGTTTTCTGAACCTAATGGAACAATCAGATGGGCCTAGTCTCTTGTTCCTCACTTCTGATGTGGAGAATTTAGGGAGGTTCGACCCCACACCACAGACTGAAATCCATTTCTCTCTCCCTTGCATCAGCATGCCCGGGGGTGAGAGCCCAGTGGAGCGAGAACTCACCAATGCAAACAGTGACATGATAATCCTGATTGGTGGTACCACTGGGCTTTGACAGCTGACGCGGTTCATTCTGGGTCATTGTTAGCTTGGAATCTCGGCAGGATCTTGGGAGCAAATCAATGGTGTGGCTGGCCCAGGGTGTGGCTGGCCATGGATGTATGATGCTGACTTCCTGCCATGACTCTGGCCTTGAGGCTAGCTGAGACCATGGGTATTAAGCAGGGTGATGTAGAGGAACTGTGGCATGTACTGTCACATTACACAGCAACTCTGGTCTGGGCCTTGCCCTTTAGCCCCAGAAGACTTTCCCTGGGGGGGTAAGATGGGACTCTTTGGAAGTCATCCTGGAGTCTTCCACTAATTCCTTGGCCCTTTTCCTGTGCCTCTGTTTCTCCTTGTGTAGGAGGGAAGAAAACAGTGACTTGTATAGTGACCTGGGGTGTCCATAATATCATTTTAACTGGAAAAGTACCCTTGGAAGTAACAAGATTAAGTGACGGTTCCTAAGGACTGTCCACCAGCAGCCTGTGGATTCTTCCTCATTCCTAATCTGGAAGGGAGCAGTGACGTGTCTCCTCATTGGCTCTCGGCAGCCAAAGTGGCCCAGCCCGAGGGCACATCCCAGTAAGGCCTTCCTTTCATACTCTGGGATCTCCTACAAGGGGCCTGTGCACCTAGGGTTGAAAGAGAGCACATGTTTTGGACAAGGTGAGGCTCACGCATAGATTCAGCTTGGCCCTCTGGCTCCTTCTCATAATTGTCAGGAAACCAAGATCAACATAATGCCACTGAATGCTGGTAATGAAATGTCTGCTCTCCCCAACACAGGCCTCGTGGCCAGTCCCAAGAGATGCTCATTAAGTGAAAGGGCTGAGAATTCAATCACCGCAGGGCCAGACATGAGCAGAGGCTGCTGCTTCCCTGGGAACAGCTTGCCTCATTCCTCGCCCGAGTTCTCTGCCTCCTGCCCCACCCCCTCGAGCTGGGGCTGGTTTAGTCTCCCCAGACCTGGCACATAACACAGGGCTCAGGAATTAGAGCTTGTGCAGGAACAGCCATGTCTAGATATCTCTAACCCTTCTTCATGGAGTGGATTCAGTCAGACAAGTAATGGTCTGAGATCCAGTGAGGCCTTACTTCTCACAGCATCTAAAACAGGGATTCTGGAGGAAATCCCCTCCATTCTGGAGAATCTGATGAGGGCTCTGGACATTCTTCCCAGGGAAGTGTGTGATCACACAAAGTCTGGCACTCCATTTCGAGAAGTTCGTAGATGCCAGAGCCCTTCCTGTGCAGGATCACAACACAGACCTCTAGCCTCCTCTGTGGTAGGTCCTTCCTGTTTGGAGGAAGCAGTGATAGTAAAGCTAATAGTAATGTGGGTGGAGATGTCTTGATGCTGTCTTCGAGATGGACGGCACCTTCAGCCCACAGCTGTGCACATCTAAATGCTGTCCATCCTTGTAGCCTCATGGCCAAGCCTCTGGAATTCGTGCCTAGCCCTCCTTCCCCCTCCTTTGTCTGAAATCCAGAAAACAACATACCGTGAATGATGAAGATCATTTTCTTCTTGCATTGTAGGTGTATGTGCCTCCTGTCCGCTCTAAAGGAGACCGGTTTCCAGGAGGTAGGGACCAGCCATTTTTGTTTCATCATCGGTCGCCCCTCAGCCCTCAGTGTGGTGTCTTTTATATGTACCAAGTACTCAGTAAATGTTTTCTGGTTAATGGGTGGATGACGAATGTGTGTCCTCACTTGGGGACTGTGCATGTAGAGCCAGTCCGCCCAGCAGGATGAAGCTGGCCACCGACAAACATCACCCACTTGGCCTTCCTTGCGGACTTCTGGCCCTGTTGCATCTCCCATGCACACCCACACAAGGACACGGAAAAGGCTGTCCCCAGGAGGAGATGCTCTTCCCTCTTTCCCTCCTAGTACACTCAGGGTCTCTGACATTTAACTCTAGTGCAATTTGTTTGTTTTCACCTGAGTTGAAAATACCAACAGATGTCACCCACCTTCACTCCTCTCTCCCCACATGTGACTTTGATGGGCCAGGAGCTGGCAGCACTAATGAGCATCTCCGCTCTCTGTGAGTGAGCAGGATCATGCAGAGCTCTGAGTAGGCAAGAGGAGTGGGGAGTGGTTCCAGCCGGAGAAGGGTGAATGCAGAGTTAGGGATGGGGGCAAGGCTGCCTGCGGAGGTCGGTGGTGGAGCAAAGAGATAGGAGAGGACAGTCCTTCTACCAGCGCAGCGCCATCAAAGGGAAAGATGACTTGCTAGCCCAATGCCTCTTGCTGTTCCAAAGGACCTTTTCACATTGCCCTGAAGGTTGTCTGGTTGTTCCCCGCATCTGGGTCAGCTCCTTCCGCCTCCCATGCACGTTTTGCAGGGATGGAGCTGGGATACCTACCACCTTATACATTTTAGAAATTGGCTCCATTGTGAGTGATAAAAATAAATGAATAAATAAAAATAGCCTAAATGAGAAAGACTTATTTTTCTCTCATGTAAGAGAGAGGGAGGAAGGTCTGTATTTGAGTGAATAGCCTTGTACCAGTGTTGATTTCCTATTTTGACAATGTACTGTGTGTATGTGGATGTTATGTGGGAAAGTGAGGTAACCAGTCTATGAGAACTCTTACTAGTTTTGAAATTTCTTATGAGTCTTAAATTATTATTTTTTAATTTAATTAAGAGAAAAACCTACAAGGAGTCTAGAGCTCTTGAGTGGTGCCATGATCCCCAGGAACCAGTGTTCTTCTATTTTGTTATTTTGCATCCTCAACACATGACTTCTGCCTCATGGACCAAGACAGCTGCTCAGGCTCTATCCATGCATCCACAGTCCAGTCATTAGGAAAGATGGGAGGAGGGTAAAGGAAGGTGTGTTCTTTATTTAAGGACGGCTAGAGGATATCACTACTCCTGGTTTACTTACAACCCTTTGGTTCAGTCTTACTCACATGACCACATCTAGATACAGGGGAGGCTGGGAAATGTAGTCTTTATTCTGCATGGCCTTGTGGCCAAATAACACGTGGGGATTTTTACTGGGGAGAAAGGGGAGAATGGATATTAGAGGACAACAGGAGGCTCTGTACTGGCACCCCTTGGAGAAAGAGCAGAGTGCTGGGTGGCAAGGAAAAGCCGGTTGATTGGATTGCCCTTCCAACTGTCCAACCGGATACCCCCTTCCTTACCCTTCCCAGCTACCAAGAAGTTGCTCGTTTCCTTCCTTTAGCAAATTACCCAGTCCCCCTTCCCTGGCCTACAGAGCCTCCATCCAATCTTCTTGGCTCCACATGGGAATACAAGCCAGAGGCATGCATTTTCCCTGGCTCTGCTCTATGTCAAATGGCAGGAGGCACTTACGTGATATGAATTAGGAGAAATGATTAGGCCCTCCCCAGCCCTGCAGTCTCTCCAAACACCACTCATGCAAGTCAGAGGACAGTGCCTACAATTTCATTAGGGACTCAGTCCCTTGATTAAGGCAGTGCAGATTTCTCATTTAATCAGGCATTAGTAGTTTAATCACTGATTTATTTGATCTTTTTGTGTAGGGCAGCAAGATAAGGATCCTGGAAAGTTAGGGCTGGAAGAGGATTCAGAGATCTCATTGACCCCAAACGCCTTTCCTTTGTACATTTGAGGCAATTGAGGCTGGTAGGAGTGACATGGATGGCTGTGGTCACACTGTGGGGTCTCTTTTTGGCATCAAGCTCACTCTGATCTCTTGATGATCAGAATGGTTATTTGCTCATCCTGCCTGAGGCTGGTTGAGGTGGGCTCTGCAGGGGAGGGCCTGCTTGCTGACTACACTCTACTCCAGGGCTTGCAGGAGAAATGCAACCCCCAAGTCAGCCAGTTCCTGAATCCCGAGGCCAAGTGACGGCGTAGGTGGGGAGGAGATTCACACCTCCTCCTATACTTGGGTCAGTGCAGTACAACAGGTGCTGCTCAGGAGCGTGCTTGCACCTGATCTCTGGCCTGCTTGGGGCACTGTGACCTTTGACACATCAGGGCAGAACCTCCCCACCCTGAAACTCTGGAGTGAGCTCTCCCTTCTCTCTCAGTGAAGTGCTGGATGATAAAGTCACTGACTACTGCTTGGCTAGAGCTTTCTGTGTTTTGTTGATTGCCTCTCCCGGAGAGCATAGGTGAGTCCCAGGGTCCTGATGTTGCACGATCCTCAGGAACTGTGAACAAGGAGTCGGGACACCGAGACATTTGGCAAGGAGCAGTTATTAGTGCTGGCGCTGGCTCAGCAGATTCATATCCAAAGGCTGAGCCCTGAGCACAGTGGGGCCGTGCCTTTTATACATTCACTTCAAGTGTAAGGGAGAGTCAGCCCCCAGGAATGTTGCAGTGGAAGCTGTTAGTGTACTATAGGTTCAGCCAGAATGCTAGTTATGCTTTAACCCATCTCAATAAAGGTTACCCCGATACTCTACTGTAAACTAATGGGCCTCCATGACTATGACCAACAACCTGTACTGTATCACTGGGTCCCAGTGGGGGATACATTGTTAAATTGCTTCAAACTTAAGCACCCGGTATTCCTCTACATTCTTAAAGCATTAAAGAAACATTGTCCCTGTTCTTGGCTTGGCTTCCTACCACACTGAGACCCCACAAAGCTGTCTGAAAGCCCAGCGGGACCACCTATACACCTCCCAGAACCTCATGTGCCTCATCTGTAAAATAGAGATAATTACCACATCCCTACATAGGGTGGGGGTGGGGGATGAAAGGGTTCAAGCATAATATGGTCAGCATGTAGCTGACTCTCAGCAAGTGTTCACCATGGAATGATGACATCATCTACATTTGAAGAACGAGAAGTATTAGAACCAAACTCAAGTATTTTGCCTTCTGAGAAGGCTTTCACAGAAAATATGTCTGGGGCCAAGCTTTTAAAGACTCTCATTGCAGGTCCCCAGGTAGTTTAGGTGGCAGAAGACATCACCAGTGACAGCTGTGCCCACTGTAGGCTAAAAGGTAGCCAAGTCTGGGGAGAAGAAACACTGTGGGTGAGTCTGCGCTTAGTATCAGAGCAATGTTAAAGCTAGTGAATGCCCGTATTTACACAGAGGAAACTGAGGCACAGGACCGGAACACGCTTAGCCTGAGTTAGTGAGAAAGTCAGGGGTATATTACCTTTTGCAAAGAGAAAGTATAAATACAGTGTTTCTGAAGAACTACTACCATGGTGTAGTGATAAAGTGGTTTGACATCAGGGAGCCCCAGTCTGCAGGGAGATATGGCCCTGCCCTCGGGGAGCCCCTGTCTGAGGGGAAGACCAGCCCTGCCCTCGGGGAGCCCCAGTCTTAAGGTGTAGACAGCCCCTGCTTCTCTGTGAGTTCCAGTTTGAGGAGGAAGGCAGGGCAGACTTTCTTCTGTCATCGGTCTCCTGCCCCATACCCCTCTCCCTCACAGCGCTGGGTCTCTGTCCTGCCTTTAATAGACTGTCATCTCCCAGAGAACAAAATGGGACTATTTATTCAGACTGTATGGAGCCCAGCACAGCAGGTTCTGAATAAATATTTATAGCTGCTAATGATTTAGCACAGTAAATACGTATAGCCTAAGTGACAGAAGCTAATGAACAGCACATAACTGCTGTGCCGGTGTGACCATCAGTGGTAAGGAACAGGGCGGAGACAGAGTTATTTAAAAACCTGTAGTGATCAGAGAGGCAGGACGGACCCTTCTAGTGAGTGACCAGAAAGAAACCCCAGTACCCCCAAATGGGGCTTCATTATGACTTCTGTGTGTCCTAGACACTTCACCTTTAAGTCTTCCTTCCTTCATCAAACAAAACCATCTCTGCTTCAGCCTTGTGCCTGGAGGCGTCCTATACCCAGACTATCCCCAAGCCTAACCTTGGATCAGAGCCCAGCTTGGAGGAAGATTGAATTATTGCCCCCTGGCCCCAGCTTTCCTTGCTTGCGTCAACCCCTATCTGTGTAACCTCCACCAGCAGAATTTCTTAAACCCGTGGCCAAGGTCCCCTGGGGGTGGTGAGCTGTAGGAATGTGTTTCACATTTTCGATTTTATTTCAGTGGCAATCTAAAATCCATTCTTTACCAAAGCTTCTCTTTGAGAATGCCAGTCTCAACTTAGAGACAGCCACAGAATAAGAATTATAATGAGTGACACGGTTTTGGAATTTCACTACGTGCCGGGTCCTGCTTGCGTGTCTTACACAAAGTGACCCAGTTAATCTTCACAACTTTAAGAGATTATCCAATTTTACAGATGAGAAAACCAGAGTATTGAGAGGTCAAACGACTTGTCCAAGAGCACACAGCTAGTAAGAGCCAGGATTCCAGGGCAGGTGAGCCCTTTGCCCATGAGCTGGCTGGACGCCAGAGTCCTGTGCTCACCACTAGCTACTCTGCATCCACGTCAAGCTTCCTGAGACAGAGCTTCTCAAACTGGAGCCCTCGGAAGAGTCTCCCTTTAAAAGGTTTCTGTAGTTACCCAGCTTTGTTGGCTCCTCCTCTGACTACCGCAAGACCTTGAACTGTTGATCTCCTAGAATGTTCTTGTCAAGACAGTTTGACTTAGCTGCTGAAATCCTACCACCAGCATTCCAGGCCGCAGCTAGTGTCACCTC